TATAGAACATCTGACTGATAGGTTAAAAATGAAATTGTCAATTCATAGCCACCTCTCCCTCTCTCTCACCCTTCCCTCGTCGAGTCCCTTCGCCCTCTCGCTGTGTTTGATGGCCCGCTGACGCACTCCGTGACCACTCAGCTTCCTCCCTTCACTCCCCATTTCCCCTGTCTCCCCCAGGCCTTCGGTAGGGAGAACCGGAAAGTGCCGGCCCATATGCCCCACCTGATCGACAAGGAGCTCGTCACGGAGATGCAAGCACGGTGGAAGGAAGGTAGGGGAGGATGGGGGAGAGGGGGAGGGACCGGTGAGAGGGAAAAGAGAAGCAAAGATACGAAAAGGCACCTCTGGCACGCGTCAATTGGATGGAGAGTGTCGGGAAATCCTATGTAATGCAGATATTCCGCCCTTTGAAAGTTATTCGCAACTGATCCAGAACCTCTAACCCTCCCTCCCTGCCCCTCTCCCTCCATCCCGTTCTCCCTGCCCCTCTCCCTCCATCCCTCCCTCTCTCTCTGCGCTCAGAATGGGACCGAACCTCCCAGCACCGTTTTCGCGCGGCCGACGACATGCAGTACTCCTTTTCCTATTTCTACTACCTCATGAATTTGCAGAAAGCCCATCCTCTCGACCTCAAGGTAAAGTCTGCCCGCCCAACCCTCCCTCCCTCCCCCTTGGCCGTTGTCCCCCTTCTCGGAATCATCACCCATCCATTCCCCTCCCTCCCACTTTAAATCTCTCGTCCTTCCTCTCTCTCCTACCCTTCCGTCACCCCCACGTCGGACTCTTTTTCAGGCGTTGTGGTACTCGGATATCGACGTGGACGGCGATGGCTTCTTGGACGATAATGAGGTAAGTGAACCTCTCATCCTTCCCCTCTCCTGTCTCACGCCAGCCTTCCCTCCTTTTTCTCGCCCTCTATCCCCTTGCCTAAACCCTCTTTTTCCCTCCTTCTATCATTTTGCGGTCGATTTCTCATCTTTCTTATCATCTTCCTCCCTCTTCCCACTCCCCCTCCTTCCTCAGCTGGTCACCCTGGCTGCCCTCGGCATGGGCCGAGACCCTACCTATGGCTACCTGATGAAGATCAAGGACTGCATGCTCGGAGGAGGGAGAAGGGAGGGCCTGAGAGGTGGTGGGGACGGCAGGGAAGGGAGACGGCGGTTACAGAGGTCAGCGGCTGGGGAAGAGGAACGCCGGGAGGGAGAGAGGGAGGCAAAGCTTGAGGTAGCTGGATGGGGAAGTGCGCAATTAGAAGAAAGGGACGCGTTGGGAAGCAGAGGCAAAGACGAGATACGCGGAGGAAGAGGAGGAGGGGGCGGGGCTGAAGGAGGGGGAGGAAAAGAAGCGGAGGAAGAGGAGGGAGAAGGAATAGGAGCACCAGGCAGCGGGCCCCTGGAGGAGGAAGAGGGGGGAGAAGGAGACAAGGAAGGGAGGAAAGAGAGGGAAGGGACGGCGGAATCTGGAGATGATGGCGGAGACAGACCGGCAGAGGAGCAAGCCCTTCCCTCGGAGGAGACCAAGATCTCTTTGGAGCATTTCCTTGGTTGCCAGCAGGTGGGGTCTGTAAGGGTATTTTCCGTCAATCTGTGTCGTCTTCCTCCCCTCCTTTCGACCTCATCCTTGTCGTCGTCTCACCCGTCTGTCCTTCCTTCTGTGGGCATTTCCTCTCCTTCCAGTGGCCATTGCCCGTTTTCGTACTGGGTATTCCTGCTCCCTTTCCTTCCTCTCCCTTCTGAGCCCCAAACCACGAGAGTGGTCTTGCCCCCGCTTTCCCTCGCTTCTCACTCTTTTCTCTTCAACCAGATCTTGACAGACTTGGAGAAGAACGTCCGGCGCAAGGGCCCGTGGACGCCAGGACCCATCGAAGATGTGCGTCAAGACTGAGAGAGCCTTGTCGATATCGTCATCCATCCACGCCCTCACCACTTACCTTTTACCCCCCGCCCCTGCGGCTGTATGCCCCTGATTCCTCCTTAACACTGTCGGTTCGACTCCGTTTCTGTCCACCTCACGGCCCCTCCCTCGCCGTTTCTCCCTTCCTTCCACCCCAGGTGACATTTGAGATGATCGGTGACGACCTGACCCGGACTCAAGCGGAGGTCAGTCTCCTCGCAGCGCGAAGCTTCTTGCGCCCGCCCCGGATTCCCTCCTTTTCTTCTCCTGTGCTCGGCTTTCTCCTCTCCCTTTCCCACCTGCGCCGCGGCCCTTGGCCGTCCTGGTCACCCTTTTTCCCTCTTCTTACAGCCATCCATCCTGCCTTCACACCGCCCGCTTCCCCTCCTCTCTCCCTGATCCCCCTCTCTCTCCTTTCCGTCCCTCCTAGCTCAACGCCATCCGGGCCACACGGACCAAGTTTGTGTGTCTCAACGACGACTTGACACGCGACCAGGCCTCCTCGGACACCTTTTTGCTCCTTCAGCACTTCTTCCTCTCTCTCTTCCCGAACAGGAGCCAATTCGAGCTCCCATTGCACCTGGAGAACAGGTATTATGAGTAGCGAGCCGATCGCACCGGGGCTGGGGATGGGCTGGTCAGAGCTGTTTGTTAGCATCGCAATCGATCGATTTTTTGCCAGTTTTCCTCCCTCCCCCTCAATCTTTCCTTTTTGCTTCCCCGCCCTGCCAGATACCTCTACCTAGACGAGTATCAACGTGCGTATCGAAGGGTGTTTTTGGCACGGCTTATTTTCGGAGCGAGCAGCCTCGTCCTTCTCGCTTTGATCGTGCGCGACTGCCTGTGGGGTACCCCCTCCCTGCCTCCTTCTCCCACGCCCGCACCTGAAATACCCGAAGGAATGGAATCCCTCCAAGGCCCTCGTCACGATGTGGGCCCCACGAAAATGGAGGAGAGCCAAGGGGAGAAGGAGGAGAGGGAGCGGGAGCGAGAGAGGAAGGAGCGGTGGAACCGCTTGACCTCCACCTCCCCCTTGATGGCCGCGGCCGCCCTACTCAATCATACAGGGGGGAGGAAACGGGGCACTGTCGATGGAACAGGAAAGAGCGAGGGTGGCATGAAGGGGGAAGAGGCAAGAGAGCACAAAGAGGAGTGAGAGGGTCGTGTACTGGGTCTTGGAGGCGCTAACGAGGGATTGAAAATGATGTAGTACAGCGCTTCTCAATCGGGGGAAGCAAATGCATTTTAAATGTCTTCATAGAAGCAATATGTCACAATTATTTGTAAGTGCTTTAAGCAAGATTCGCACCCCGACGTGAGGGACCATCGATTTGGGGGGTCACCTCTCCTTCTTCCGAACTGCGTCATCTTGTGCCGGCCCCTCCAAGCCTTCCGCAGCGGTGAGGCCCATCATGCTCGCAAAGGGGCACTTACTCACGTCTCCTCCCTTAGGATGCCCACGTGGCAACCCCATGCCAAACGGCCTTTCATTTCGCCACATAATTACCACCAGCATCACGGGCACAAGCAAATATGGAGAGTAAATCCCGATCAACGTGATCTTCTTATCCAGCGACAGGTGTGGCGCTCGCGCGAAAGCATCCAGGATCGGAACTAGGGTGGTGGCGACATGGGAGCCGTATACAATGCATGGGAGGCGCAGCCAATTTTGTTGGGTCCAAAATCCATACGCAGCGACGAAGAAGAAGGGTAATTGCATCACTAGCTCACAGGCGACTACTGCTTGGAACCATGGAGGGGGGTTTGCCATGAGGAAGTCTCCGTAAGTCTCGGTATACCACCGTAGTAAGTTCGTGAAAGCTGGAGGATGATACATCGAGAAGATGCTTTGTGCATCGATAAACAGGGTGATGGGGATATGGGTGACGAAGTACCAGAAGAAGAGCCACCGGATAAAGGCAGGCATGCCCCCATAATTGTCCGCCATGCTAGAAGATGAGGGGGAAAGTCATATCATGTTGGTGTCAAGTCGCCCCTCCGCTTAGAGTAACTAATCTCGATGTTGATGACAAGATGACAGGAAAAGGATCAAACGCAAATTGAGTCTCAATACTTGGCTTCTAGGACGCAGATATTTCTCTATTGCAGGCCCATTAAAGGGTGCTGGTAAAAGAATGTGAAGTGTCTTATCTTGTGGTATTTAGCAACAATTATTGTCAGGAACAAAATACAAGCATATCATGTGAAAAGGACGATCACGTCAGTCACGTGGCATCGCAGGGACATGCGCTTCAGGTTTCGTAAAACATTGCTCTTCTGCTCCATGACATATGGTCAACAATAGAATGGGAATGGTGGAAACTACTTTAAAAGGAAAACGATGAATTTACTGGGACTTATCTTACAACCCAAAGAAGGGTCTCCGGATTTCATACGAATGTTGGAGGAGCAAAAAAGTCCATAGCCACTATCGGCGACAGCGAGACGAATTTCTTGCTTTTTTCGTTTGTCTCTACGGTCATTGAAAACACTCTGTAAGCTTGATTTTTCCTTGTGAACAATTGATTACCTTTTTAATAACATATAACAATAGATTATAGAACATCTGACTGATAGGTTAAAAATGAAATTGTCAATTCATAGCCACCTCTTTGGCAAACTGACCGTAGATCTCTATACTACCCCGAGTATTGAACTTATCTTCTTCTCATGGTAAAGTTTTGGTGCGCTTGAAAAGATCCGTCGGACAAAAGGTATTTTAATGCGCACTTCAGCAAAATGCACAGTGCAAGCAAGCGAAAATGTAAGAAAATATTAGTTTAAATCAATGAGGTAATGATACGGTCAATGTAGACAAAGAGACGAACAAACGCTCGTCCTGTCCGAACGCAATGATTCGCGAGAAAAAAAAGCACTGCGGATTCTCAAAAGCTGACCCACACGCACTCGGTCAATCGGTGTCTGGAACGGAAATTTTGGACGCTTATAAGAATTCTAAAGGCTTGGGACGCAGCTGCAACCTCGTTTCTTTCGTCACACCCTCTAAACAAATATTTTTATGTAAAGTTAACTCCGTAGGAACGTAAGTCGTAGTGGAAATGTATTACAAATGTGACAGACAAGTCGATGAAGGAAGCTTTCGGGATTCTTCCCCATCATGCAACCTTATCCAAAGCAATCCAGCCCCGACCAAGGTGCCTCTTTCATGAGTTTTTGCTTTTATTCCACTATTTCTGAAAGAATTTCCGAGCTTGATCACTTTCAAGGGGGAAAGCGATGCTTTTTGCGTGCCAATCCTATGCGCTCTCGCGTGCTATCGGGTCGCCTTGGAAGGAAACAACGGAATCATTATCAAGTACCTGGAAATTCTTGCCGACGTCGCAGCTCATTGTCTCTAAAATATCACAAGTACTGCTTGGTTGTCACTAAAACCCCCACGAAAAATCTACATCTGTCTGCGACTCGATTCGAGGGTATTACAGTATTCTGCCCGCTTTGCAGGAAGTGCATGGCAAGAAGAAGCGTCTTCCTTAGCAGGTGTCGGTCTATCGAATCACGCAGAAGACGATTAAGAACTCCTGCGTTTTTAAAGTTAAGTGCATCTTTACAGTCCATCATTTGGTGTTTGAAGAAAGGCTACTAATCAAGACAGAAAAACATTTTGTAAACTTCAACACTATTGAGGTCGAGCAATATTTTTCTTTCTTTACGCTATTTCTCTTCCCAGCATACAAGGTGCTCGATATGAGCTGATGGATTTCTCTTACACTGTATCCAAGTGCAGCTAGTCCAATATTTCTCTCTCATATCATGTGCCTCAATTTTCTGACTTCACGAGCAGTCCTCCATTCTTTGGTTGAAGAAAAACACTGATACGTATCAGTGACTTCTCGCACGAGATTCATTCTTAATTATCATGTCCATGGCTTTTGTGTGGCCTCTTCGTATGCTCACCCAATTCTTCCTTCTCCATGTCTCACATACTTCTCTTAATAATTAAATCTCTCTTAAATTTCCCTTGTGAAAAGCCCGCACAACAGTAATATGGCGTGTTTTAAATCATATGCCGGCATTTGTTCTCTTCTACAATCTTATACTTATACCTATGTGGACTTGGCTAGACATCTTTTCCTGTACATAATTTCCTGAAGGGCCAAAAAAAATGTGACAGACATGCAATCCGACCGTTTCGTGCCCTCAGCCACCCCCGTCAAACTTTCTCCTTCGATACGCATGACCAAAATAATCCCAGCGCACTTCTCCCTAATGACTTATTAAACATTCGCATATCTACATCCCTCAAAGGGTGAGATAGTTTAACGAGAAATGTGTCACAAGGAGTGCTTGAGAACGAAAAAAAATGGATACTACTGTGACCGAGGAGCGACAGAGGCTGCAGCTGAAACGCCTTGAATAAGGACTACTATCTCAATCCAAACAATACGAGACAAGACATATGCAACTAAAATGACTCATAATAGGATAGATTGACTCATCAGGCATATTTGTCGTTGTCTTCGTATCGCAAAAACCTCGATTTTGGGGACGTAAATATTTGACGACCCGCCTTGAAGATATGAGTCAAGACACTGGCTCATTACAAATTCAACCTTTGATTGACGAAACCTTAATTGTGATAATGTTTGCATTGGATTGATTGTGGTTGAGTGACAAAGCTTTCATATCTTTCGAACTTTTCGGATTTGAATTTGTTCGATTTGGCGATGGTCAAACCTTTCGATTTTGATTTGAAAGTAACGAACGACTAGTCATTTTGGGCCCTCAAGCACTGCTATTTAGCTATCGTGGTCGATATGAGCATTTGTACGAAGAACAAGGTCAATGGGCATCCTATCCAAGGTCTTCGAGGACTCATTCATCGTCAAATATGTAAGATCGGTGGCCACATGGATGCTTGATCTCCGTAAAGCCCTTCCGATTACCAGCGTGACATGCGTCGTGTACCTTTAAAGGACGTTAAAGTGATAATTTTGACATTCATTCAATCGATATCAGTTGCTGGATAGCTTTGGATCAATTTACTTGATGAGTTCGCTGGACATGTCAGAAGCTGAGGAATGCTTTGTTGCGGTGCGAGGAATCATGTCAGCTTGTACTCCTCAGTAAATCAAACTTAATCAAGTTTTTCAGGCATAGCGATACGGAAAAGAATGTGCGGCTGCCGTTTCCCAGAGTTCAAGAAAAAGTTGCCTCAGCTGAATAGCTTATAACGTACTACAGCACAGGCATATGACCCTGAAGGCGCTTTCCATGGTATGAATGGATGTATAGTTATGAAGGGCAAGCACAGGATGAGTCCGAATGGTCTAGGTAGGTCCTTAAGTAATATCCCTTTTATGTACACGCCTCAATTTGTGATGTTCTCTTTTTCGATTTCCCTCTCAAGCACTTGGCCTGGTCCTCCTCTTCTTCCAGCGATCGACATCCCTTCCAGCTGTGCACTGGTTTGCCCCCTTTTACTCCGGTGGCGGATACTGTAGTGAGGTACCTTGTGGGTTTCATCTTTTTCAACACACCTTGCGTGCTAAGGCCCTCTTTCACGTTTTCCAACCCCACAATCCTTGCCTCCGTTCCTCATCTCTCGGACGCGCGGGGTCAGGCCATCGGATTCCTCCAAGCACTGACTCTTCAAAACGTGACTCTGCACATCGAGCAGGTAGTTTGCAACCCAGCAACGCCCTCGAGTTGAGATGAAGCTTCGTATTCATTCCCTTTCTTTCCCCCATGCGGATGACCTTTTCACACAGCACGGTGACAGCGTCAACTATCCTTTCTTGGACGGCCTGCCGCTAGAAACACGACAGGTAATCCATCTTCCCTCTCAATACCCTACTATCCCACTCGCTCGCATCCTGGCGAAATCCTTCTCTCCCAGACGACCTCTCGCCGATGCTATCATACGCCGCGCTGGCCCGCCATCCTCTTCCCATTTGCCTCTTCTCCCCTTCCATCCCCAGCTCCTCCGGCACGCCGCAGACGCCCGACCCCCCCTGGAGGAGAGCATCGTCATATGTCATTCCGAGCCTGGAGCATGGCATCCTTCCCGATACCCAACCTCGCGCTGTCCTCCTCGGTAAAAAGACGGGAAAGGGAGGAAAAAGAGGTCAATTCCAAGGCTTCTTCGTGAGGGCGAACAGAACCTCCGAGGCATGGCTCCTATAAGTCCTTCTCAAATCGGAGCACGCGCTCTTTCCTCTCATACTTCGGCGTCCACACAATTCTTATCCCCATATGCTCCCTGACCCGCTCTCACCCTCTCCCTCCACAGCAAGGCCCTCTACCGCGTGGGCCGGACCATGTTCGAGACCGACCGCCTGCCGTCGGGGTGGGCGGAGAGGATGAGCCGCGACAAGATGGACGAGAGTAAGGCGAAGGGCCGGGGACTGGGGGAGGGGTACGGGCGACGAGGCAATGATATTGAGAAGCTAAAGTCGTGTTCACACACAGTATGGGTGCCGACGGCCTTCCAGAAGCGGGTTTTCGTGGAAGGAGGGGTGGAGGCCGAGCGGATCCAGGTACACTCCACGTATGCGACGGTGTCCTTCTGCCTAAGTCTTCTCGTGTCATCACCCCTCGTTGTCATCCTGAGTGCTGATTTCGGTACCGCTTTCTTTCGATTCTTGTGGCTTCTGGCTTCCATCCATTCCTCACTCCCTGCCTATAGGTGGTAGGCGAGCCCATCGACACTGACTTCTTCTCTCCCGAGAACCCTGCCCTTCTCTCCCTTCCACAATCCTCCGGCCTCCCTCCCTCCCTCCCTCCCTCCTCTTT